GTAGTAGTAGTAGTAGTAGTAGTAGTAGTAGTAGTAGTAGTAGTAGTAGTAGTAGTAGTAGTGGTAGTGGTAGTGGTAGTGGTAGTAGTTGTAGTAGTCGTAGAAGTGATAGTAGTAGTAGTAGTCGTAGTAGTCGTAGTAGTAGTAGTAGTAGTTGTTGTTGTAGTAGTTGTAGTAGTGGTCGTAGCAGTAGCAGTAGTAGTAGCAGTAGTCGCAGTAGTAGTAGTAACAGCAGGGGAATTAGTATTCGCATAAGTATTAGTAGTAGTATCAATATTAGTATTAGTAGTAGCATTAATATTTGTAGGAGTAGTAGTTGCTGTAGCAGTAGTACTAGTAGTAGTCAGGGTAGTCATAGTAGTAGTAGTAGTAGTAGTAGTAGTAGTAGTAGTCGTAGTAGTCTTTGTAGCCGTAGTAGTCGTAGTGGTAGCGGTCGTGGTTGTAGTAGTAGTAGCAGTAGCAGTAGTAGTAGTCGTAGTAGTAGTAGTTGTAGTCGTAGTCGTATCAGTAGTACCAGTAACAGGAGTAGTTATAATAGCAATCGTAGTAGTCGTAGTCGTCGTAGTAGTAATAGTAGTAGTAGTCGCAGTAGTAGTAGTAGTAGTAGCAGTAGTAGTAGTAGTAGTAGTAAGAACAAAAGTAGTAGCAGTAGTAATAGTAATATCCGTAGCTGGAGTAGGAGTAGGTAGTAGTAGTTGTACGTAGTACGTAGTACGTAGAATCAGTAGTAGACGTAGTAGTTGTTGTTGCAAGTGTAGTTGTAGTTGTACTTGTAGTTGTAGTTGTAGTGTTGGTGCTAGTACGAGTACGAGTACGAGTACGTGTCTGATGAGTATTACTACTAGTATTAGGCATACTTTGATCATTACTACTACTACTACTACTACTACTACTACTATTACTACTACTAGTACTACGACTACGAGTGGTAGTAGCGATTCTCCTCCAGAGCCTTATGAACCGAACAGGCCCGCTGAGCCCTACAAGCCCTATGGGCCCGAACGAGGTCGGAACGTGGAGGGCGGGCCAGAATCGTTCATGTGGCGAGGGTGCAATTGTTTGTTTTACCGCATCTTATCTTACCCCGCCTTGCAGTATTCTCAGTATCATATTATCTTAGCGTATCCTGTCTTAGCCCGTATTTCCATACACTAGGTGATCATAGCACACCATTGTCCCCCACGGTTCTCCCAACATCGGGGGGGAATGGTTGGCATTAGTAGTTGGTTGCTGTAGTTTGTGTTATTTGGTTATGTGTTTGTTGTGTACATGATCATATCTTATCGTGCGCCCTATGAACCCCATGAGTCCTATGTGCCCGAGGGGGGCCCTCCGATCCCTTCCATGCGCAGCCCCAGTAATCTTCTCGTCCAGATGCTCCTGCATCTCCTCATCCTCCAGGCGTCACGCTCTGTATGAGTGCGCTGCTGAGCAGCGAGCTCCTGCAACCCTGCGCGTCGCGCCCCTCCAGACCAAACCCGACCAGAGGACGAATGCAGTGGGGGTGCCAAAGATGTGGTTCTGAGGGGCGTGGTCTAAATGCCCTGGGGCGCATATCAAGGGCCTTGTTGCGGGGCCCACATTGGCCATTAGGACCACATCCCTCATAACCGCATCTTCGTAGCCCCCGATAAGCGTGCGCCCATGGAGATCGTTGGCGGCCCGTTCGGATTCAACGAGCAGGAGGTGGTCAACGCGCTGAGCTAGGCCATGCTCCAGGAGCACTCGTCGCACAGCCAGGAGCGGCTTATGGCCTTATGGAACGCGATGCTGTTCAACCGCGACAGCGTCCCCCATTGGCCCCCGGGCGCGAGCTCGGTCATCGGCGAGGTGACCGATGGGCGCGAGAAGCAAAGGGGCGAGGGCGCTGAACAAGGACACGGGCAACGATGGGGAGGGCGATGATGAGGGCGAGGAGGGATGCGGGGGGAGAGCGGGGAGAATCAGAGATAAGGGAGTATGGGGGGGGGGAGGGGGTAGGAGGGCGGGATAAGGGGGGATTGAGGAGGGGGCGGGGGAGGCGGGTCGGCGGGGGGAGAGGAGCGAGGGGGGGGGCAAGTCATTCGACCCCGGGGCCCCCTCCCCCCCAGCCCCCTCAGCCTTCTCTTTCTCTGTTTAGTGTCATCTAGTTCTCCGCGGCCCCCCGTCATTCTCCATAGTTCCCCACAGTGGCCCATTGCTATAGTTCTCCTCGAGCTCTGCCCCACCCCCCGCCCTATGCCAACCGCGCCGTCCCCCGCGCCCCCCCCCCCCCCCCCTCCACGGCCTTCTGCTCGCGCGCCCCGCGCGTCGTCTTCAGCGCCGTTGTTGCAGTCGCGCTCGTTGCCGCGCGCAGGCGAAGGGGGGCGATGACCTCGCGCGCGCCAACCTCAGCGACGACACCCTGGAGCAGGCGCGCACTGGAATCCACGATGCGCCACTGCGTGGGTTGCGCAGGGGCGCGCGCGCACGCGCGCGCGAGTAGAGATGCAACTATATGCGCGCACGTCGGCATAGGGCCATGCGCGCGTGCATGTAAACATGCTTGCGCGAGAGATGTGCAACTATATAGATGCGTAGTATCATGCGTGCAAATATGAGCACGTATGCACATCTTTGTTTTTTATAACTGTATACATAGGTGTGTGTGTAGACAGGCATGCGCGCATATGCATATCAACGAATCTGGATCTATATGCACCTTCACCTCCTCCGCCGCGCGCTCCGCATTCTCGCCCTCCCCCACCTCCTCCACTCAGGTGTTGAGTGGTCAACCCATAGGCGCCGCGGCCGCGATCTTCTCGGGGCTGGCCACGTGCCCCGGCGAGAAGTCCAAGGCGCTGCCGAGGGGCGTGACCGAGTGGCTGCCGCCCACCAATACTTCGCCCGCGCTCGAGCTCCCCGCGAGAGCCGAAGGCGGCGCGCCCGCGCCAGCCGACGGCGGCGCGGCCGAGGTTCTCAGCTTCAACGACCAGTTCCCCGGCTGTTGGATAACGGATAACGATGACGTTACTGATGTCGACGACGACGACGATAATGTTGACGAGGAGATGAGGGCGGGGGGGGAGAGGGGCGGCGACGGCAACGGTGGCGACGGCGATGGGGTTGGTGACGCTGGTGATGACGACGATAACGACGACGATGGTGCCATGTTGATAATGATGATGATAATGATGAGTACGGCGATCATGCCGACGAGCTGATAATAGGGATGATTTTACTTATGATGTTGACTCCGATGACGAGACCAACGTCGATGATGACGGCGACGATGATGATGTCGGCGACGATGGCGAGCACGTTCGGAAACAGGTGCTGGAAGGTCTGGAAGCACCACGGGTCCCCGGGTGCGAAGACCGAGAAAAAGCTGAAGGATGAGCAGCTGATTCCCAGAAAGGGCCGAAAGGGGGCAGAGATGATCCTAATGTCGTCAGCTTCCTGACAAAGTGTTATATGCGCAAACGCCTGCCGCCCGATATGCAATTGGTTTTATGTTCGCCAGGCAACCCCCTCCTCCATCATATCTCACCCTCCCCCCCTTAGCACCCCCCTCCTCCCTCCTAACTCTTCCCCCGTGCCCCCATTCCCCCTTCCTCGCATGTCTTTCCCTTGTGCGTATGCGTGCGTGCATGTGTGTATGCGCGCGCGTGCACATAGGATGGGTGGGCGTTGATGTTAACTGCATTCTGTTATATTGTGGATGGGGCGGGAAATGAGGCGGGCGAGGGCGGGCGGGGGTCATGCCTCGGCATGTCCTGTAACATGTAGCAGAATATTGTTTATGGTCGGGCATTCTCTTCGCGTAGCCTATCGCATAAGGTCGCATCGCATCTTCTCGCTCATTGTCTCGTAGCATCGCGTCGGATCGCGTCGCATCGCACCGCATTGCGGCCTCTTCTTGATCGCACATGGGCCGCGTGAGCCCTACAAGCCCGAAAAGCCCCATGGGCCGATTTGCCTTATGAGCCCTCTCGCAAAACGCCGATCGCATCGCGTCTTATCTCACCCTGCCTCACCGTGGCCGCGAGAAACGCTATCGCAAGACAGCGCAGGCGCGCGCGCCCGAGGACTTGCGGGCCGCGGTCGCTGCGCGATTTCACGCGGAGGGTTTGGGGGCGCGCGGGGCGGGTGGACGCGGGGATGTTCGGCGGGGGCGCGGGGGGAGGGGTTGGGGGGGAGGGGGGGGGGCAGGGGGGTTCGGGAAGGTCGGGAAGTTTGCGTGTGCTTTATATATATATATATATATATATACATATATAGATATATATATATATATATGCACACATTGCCCCGGGAACCGGGTCTCCCAGTTCGCGCCAGCGCCGGAGACGCCGATTGATGACGCTATTCCCTGTGACATCGCGTCCCTGTGAAGACGCTATTCCTTGTGAAGACGCTATTCCGTGTGAAGACGGTGAGGACGCTATTCCGGGTAATCCCTGTGGAGACGCCATTTCTGGTGAAAACGGTGAAGACGCTATTCCGGTCGAAGACGCCATGCTGGGTGAAGACGCTATTCCCGGTGAAGAAGCTTTTTGCGGACACAGACAGCACCTCCCCTATGAAGACAGCATTCTTTTTGAAAGCGCTATTCCCAGCGAAGACGCTATTCCCTGTGAAGACGCCATCTGGGCGAAGACGCTATCCCTTTGTGAAGACGCTATTCCGGGTGAAAACGCTATTCCCGGTGAAGACGCTACTCCCGGGGAAGACGCTACGGTGAAGACGCTATTCCCGGTGAAGACGGTATGCCTTGTGAAGACGCTATTCCTGCTGAAGGCGCTATTCCGCATGAAGATGCTATTCCTTGTGAAGACGCGATTCCCGATGAAGACGCTATTCCTCGTGAAGACGCTATTCTGGGTGAAGACGTTATTCCGGGTGAAGACGCTATTCCGGGTGAAGACGCTATTCCGGGTGAAGACGCTATTCCGGGTGAAGACGCTATTCCGGGTGAGTGCGCTATTCCTGGTGAAGACGCTATTCCTTGTGAAGGCGCTATTCCCAGTGAAGACGCTATCCCGGGTGAAGACGCTATTCCCGGTGAAGACGCTATTCCGGGTGAAGACGCTACTCCGGGTGAAAATTCTATTCTGTGTGAAGACGCTATCTCCAGTGAAGACGCTTTTAAACTATTCCGGGTGAAGACGTTATTCCGGTGAAGGCGCTATTCCCCGTGAAGACGCTATTCCCTGTGAAAACGCTATTCCGGGTGAAAACGCTATTCCCGGTGAAGACGCTACGCTATTCATTGTGAAGACGCTATATTCCCCGTAAAGACGCTATTCCCTGTGAAGACGCTACTCCTTATGAAAATGCTCCTTCTCATCCCCATGCCCAGCATTCAACGCGCCCCCCTCCCAATTGTAACTTGAAAGTGTCACTTTACTCCACGCAATCCGCGCCTAACACAACGCGTGCCTTATCTGCTGTGCGACGCCCTCAGCTAGGCAAGACCCCTCCTCAAGTTGATGAAACAAAGAAAAGCTAGACATGCCCCCTACCGGAGGACCCATCCCCAAGTTGATTGAAAGAGAACCCTTGGTGTTCGACGTGCCCCATCTGCTGCGCGGCACCCTCTGCTAGGCAGGACCCCTTTTCCCAAGTTGATAAAACAAACCCTTGATGTCTCGCGCGCCCCATGTGCTGCGCGGCGCCCTCAGCTAGGCGAGAACCCTCCCCAAGTTGATAAAAAAAGCAGAATCCTTGGCGCTAGATGCGCCCCTTTGCTGCGCGGCACCCTCTGCTATGCAAGACCCACCCCAAGTTGATTCAAAAAGAATCCTTGCTGCTAGACGCGCCCCATATGCTGCGCGGCACCTTCTGGCAGGCAATGGCCATCCCCAAGTTGTTTTAAACAGATCCCTTGGTGCTAGACGTGCCCCATTTGCTGCGCGGCGCCCTTTGCTAGGCAAGGCCCCTCCCCAACTTGATGAAAAAAAGAATCCTAGACGTGCTGCGTGACACCCTTTGTTGGGCAATGGCCTTCCCCAATTTAGTTAAACAAAATCCTCAGTGCTTGACGTGCCCCATCTGCTGAGCGGCACCTTCTGCTAGGCAAGGCCCCTCCCCAATTCGATTGAAAAATGATCCTCGGTGCTAGACGTGCCCCATCTGCTGCGTGGCACCCTTTGCTAGGCAATGGCCCTCCCCAAGCTGATTCAGAAAAGAACCCTTGGTGCTAGGCGTGCCCCATCTGTTGTGCAGCACCTTCTGCTAGGCAAGACCCTTCCCCAAGCCGATGAAAAAATCATCCTCGGTGCTAGATGTGCCCCGTTGCTGCGCGGCACCCTCTCCAAGGTGAGGCCCTTTGCTACGCGGCACCATTTGCTAGGCAAGACCCTTCCCCAACTTAATTAAAACATAATCCCTGGTGCTAGACGTGCCTTTTGCTGCGCGGCGCCTTTGCTAGGCAAGACGCCTCGCCAAGTTGATTAAACAAGAATCCTTGGTGCTGGACATGCTCCTTTGCTGCGCCGCGCCCTCTGATAGGCAAGAGTCCTTTCCAAGTTGATTTAAAAAGAATCACTGGTGCTAGACGAGCCCCATCTGTTGCGCGCCACCTTCTGCTACGCAAGACCCCTCCCCAAATTGATTCAAAAAGAATCCTTGGTGATAGATGTGCCCCTTTGCTGTGCGGCACCCTCTCCAAGGTGAGTTTTTTTGCTGCGCGGCTCCTTCTGCTAGGCAAGACCCTTCCCCAAGTTAAGTATAACAGAATCCCTGGTGCTAGACATGCCTTTTGCTGCGCGGCGCCCTATGCTAGGCAAGACCCCTCGCCAAGTTTATTAAAAAAGAATCCTTGGTGCTAGACGTGCTCTTTTGCTATGCAGCACCCTCTGATAGACAAGACCCCTCCCCAAGTTCATTAAACAAGAATCATGAGAAAAAGAAAGCCCGGTGAGCCCCTGGAGCCTCCTGGTGCCTCCCGGAGCTCACGGGGGCTTCCTAGGGCCTCCTGGTGCTCTTTGGGGCTGTCTTGGCCCTTCCCGATGCCTCCTGGAGCTGTCTTGGCCCTCTCCTGGGGCGCGAATCCTTTATGTTAAACATAGGTGCCAATATATTGGCGTTCTCTTGGAGCGCGAGTCCATTGTGTTTCACGCATGTGCCTATAGATTGGCCTACTCTTGGGGCACGAATGTTTAGTGTTTTACGTGCGTGCTTATATATTGGCCGTATCATGGAATGCGAACCCTTAGCGTGTTACGTGATGTCTAGAGATTTGCCTTCTCCTGGGGCGCGAATCTTTTGTGTCTTACACATGTGCGTATAGGTTGGCCCTCTTCCGGGGCACGAGTCCTTTGTGTTTCGCGCGCTGTCTTTAGATTGGCCTTTTCCAGGGGCCCGAATCTTTCGTGTTCTTCGCAGAAATCGTGTGGGGTAGGGGTATGGTTCGCATGTGGCCCCCTATGGCTGCGCCTGCTGCTGCTGCTGCGCTGCCACCGCCTCCTTGATGCTGGCCTCAAGGTGGCCACCTGCTGCTGGACGTGGGCTGGAACTCCCGTGGCGGGTCCCGCCTGGAGCTGCCCGATGAGCTGCGCGAGTGGCGGGAAGGACGACGGCGTCTCTGCTGGCTTCGGTAATGCCGATGCCACTCGGTGCACCATGACCGCCAGCTGTGCCTAGAGCTGCTGGATCTCGATCTCGGCGGCCGCCGTGCTCTTTGGAAGCTCCTCGAACTCCTCCGCAAGCGCAGTGATCTGCTCGAGCTTTTCTTGCCGAGGATTCTCTCTGCTTCTCGACCTTACTCTTGATGGTGGCGATCTGATATCTGAGAGATTGCGCCTGCTGGTCGAGAGGCTTCGACGCAAGGTTCTCCTGCTTGGCGATCTTGAGCTTCTGGACTGCATCTGAGTAATTGGGGCCCAGCGGGCCCTCGTGCTCCTTCAAGAACTGGACGAGACCCTGCGCCGTTTGAATCGGGTCGATCTTCTCCTCCGTGGAGACTTCCTTC